GGATTCCTTTTTCCGCTATGGGCAGCAACTTCCTTATCCTTTTTTGCCCTCCACTTGATGTAATCGGGACAATTTTTCTTTTGGTGATTCGGCTTCTTACAGAAGAAGCATAATGGTTCATTCTTTTTGGACTGGAAGTTTGCTTTTAAAACCCTTTCACTTGAATCGCCTTCGCCATGCAGTCGACGTTCATTTTCTGCAATTAACTTTTGTTGAACGAAGGCATATGTCAATTCTTCTTCTTTTCGCGCTTCAAGTGCCGTAATTAATGTGCCGTAGCTTGCTGGTAAACTGCTGAGAAGCATGGCAACACTCCAATTCATCATCGCTGATACTCTTTAATTTCACGAACAAATCTTGCATTCGATTAATGTGTTCTGTAACACTGCTATGTTCTTCCATTTTCAAGATGCAAATACGCCGCATTAAATTTACCTTGTTACTAAGCGTTGCCTTTTCTTGGTATTCCTTTAGCCTGTTCCACGCACCAATCGCCGTTTTTTCGTTCCGAATATGTATTATTTGATCGTCTTCAATTGACAAACCGATGGTTGAAAATGCCTCTTCATCTTTCCGGATCCATTCCTTCATTTCCTTTTGATATTCAACCATACCCGTTGCACCTGCAGCCCCTGCTGACGCAGCCGGCTTTTCGGTCGAGATCGTCATCCACAAATTGTTCTTTTTCAACAACAACTCCATTTTGAAGCGCCAATTGGTATAATTTGCGTTATTCAACTTTTCGATTTTAGCCTTAAACTCCGTCATGGTGCTAAAATTGCTTGATGTTGACTTTATCCTGCGAAGACTGGGCCCATAACCTATTGTAAATCACGCCCTTTTTAGATTAAAAGAAATGCTAAAACTTTATTATGGATAAACGATGATTTAATGTTTCTTGCTTTAATGGTTGTGAAGGAATGAAGGAATAAATAATATAAAAAAAACTTTTTAATATACAACGCTTTTATAAATGGACTAAAAAGTAGAAAATAATATTTCTCAGTCCCATAGAATTTGTTTTGATAACTTTTGATTTTGAAATTTTAGCAAAAGTCATTATAAACAATCTATGAAATTGAACATGAAAAACGTGGAGCGCATGCAATACAAAGCATTCGATTTAATTGACAATAGTCAAACTACATAACGTAGACCTAAAATTTCTACAGCGAAAGTAGAACTTTGAAATCGATTTTAAGCGGTCGTTATTCATATACCCACATACATACATACATATATTACTTTTCATATCAATTCAAGTGTATTACATGCGCCCCACGCTTTTCATTTTCAATTTCATAGATTGTTTATAATGACTTTTGCTAAAATTTCAAAATCAAAAGTTATCAAAACAAATTCTATGGGACTGAGAAATATTATTTTCTACTTTTTAGTCCATTTATAAAAGCGTTGTATATTAAAAAGTTTTTTTTTATATTATTTATTTTCTACTTTTTAGTCCTGTCTGAATAAAATTTTTTTAAAAATAATTCAACGATATTAATAGAAAGGAGCACACACATGCATTTACATATGTATAGCTATCACTTCTACCATTTTTTCAAATTATTGATGCTTTTCCACAATAAGTTTTTCATTAAAAACGGCCTTGAGCTCAATAAAAATTGTTGAATATAATTGCTATAAGGCCATAAAATAACAAATATATATATATATATATTTTTATGAGAATTGAAGCCGTTTTTGGTTTTTTGCTAAAAATTACTTGTTGCTCCAAGAAAGCAGTACTCACTATTCTCTGCACACGCATTCATTCATCTTGCTTGCTAAGGAATGAATGACCAAACAGTGTGGAGCGCAAACGACTGTCTCATAAATGCCAACCACTAAATTCATGCAGCTGTCTAATATATAAAAACGTTTCTTATTCAACCTCCTTTTGAAGAATCTAAGTTAACGATACAGGATAAAACAACTAATAACTGGTTATATCATAATCATCATGGATTAAAATGGGAAGATAGTGATTCGACTTTAATGACTTATTGAATATATCCATACATTAATTAAAAGAAAAAATTACATATTCTATGCTAAAGAATTGGAGAAAATCAAATGGATTCAACGTTTATTCGGATAGGATATTATTTTATATAATTTATATGATTTAAATTGTTCAAATTTAAAGAATTTATATAGTAAAAATCATAAGAATTCTGCGATGTGTGCTGAATAAAAATGTAATAACATTAAGAAAATTTATTTCTTCATTAAATATCTATATATATAAAACAAAAACAAAGTCGTGTTAGTTACACCATTGAGAACTCAAGAACGGCTGGACCGATTTTTATGATATTTGTTTTTTGAATTTGTCTACCTTCCGAATAGCAGAATAACTACTAAAACAACCGCTAGGTGGGGCTGGAGTCGAGTTATTAGTAAAACCCGTATTTTAGGTCCGATTCGCCTCATATTTGAGATATGTATTGACAATAGAAAAACAACACCATTGCAAAAAAAAGAGACGCCAGGTGGCGATGGAGTCGAGTTATTACTAAAAATCGTGTTTATGGTCCGATTATCCTCAGATATAAAATATGTACTGATAACAAGAAAAAGAATTCTATCGAAAAAATTTGCCGCCAGCTGGCGCTGAAATTGAGTTGCATATGTATATGTAACTATGTATGTATACTTTTGCAAAAGAACTAAAA